ACGCTTCTCCGAAAAACTCTCATTTATTCCCCAAACTTCCCCGCTGCCCGTGGGTGAGCGGCCGACCTGGGCCGCACGCAGAGCCCTTTCGCCGCGCTGCGTTGCAAACGTGCTGCCGTGTTACCGGGGTCGCTTCCCTTCCCTCCCGACGCGCGCTTGAATTAAACCGAGAGAAACGCGAGTTAAAGCATGCGTAATGGGTTAACGCCACCGTGAACAGGCAACAAACTGAAGCAAGTTCCAATTCAGAAATTAAATGTCTTTATTCTTTACAACAAGCACTTAAAAGTGGCCTTAAATTGTTAAACCAGTTAAACTTGTAAATCTGTCTGCTGCGCTTCCACATGACCAGCTATTAAAAAAAAAAAACAACAAAATCACTTTCATTCCTCCCCACCAAAGGAAAAAAAAAACACCTGGGGAAAATATATTCCCACTTACATCTCTCTAAATCCCAGGAATTTCATCGCTTTCAACAAAAGTCTCACTGCCAGGGTAAACTTGTCAGATTTACCTATAAATTACCTGTAAATAAATCCGTTGGATTTGTAGCACTAAGACAGGTTTAACTGCAAATCTATACTCCGCATTCCTTCATTCTAGGTGGCAAAGGCCAAATACTGCAAGAAAATAAAGATTCACCTGATCATACTGCCAACTCCTGTGAGGCTGGACTGGATCGGGAAAGAACGTCACCGTGCGGTGACCGCCGCACCCTGGACACACTCGGGAGAGGAGGGGTGAAGTTTCTGACCTGAGCTGGATGAACCTTCAAAAGGGCAGCCAGGCCCATACACAGTGCAGCAACTGTTGTATGTTGTATTAAAATAATCATAAAAAAAGGTATTCCTAGCATTATGTTAATAGTCTCCATCAGCCAAGGATTTGTAATTAATTGCGTTTGACCCTGCTTGAGCAGGGGCTTGGACCAGACGATCTCCAGTAGCCCCTTCCAACCCCAACTACTCTGTGATTCTGTTTTGCCCCACGTTTGGAACTACTTAGATAGACGATTCTTCATGCGTATATATGTATTTACTTATTTATGAAGCAGCCACATCTCAGTGGGAGGAATACAGTGGGCCTCCTCCAGGACCTGACACCACATGGTTGTGGAGGTGTCCGTGCTCAGACGGACCTCTCTCGTCACCCCATCTAACATCAAGCACATAGTAGTCCGTGTCTGTCACCTCCCGACCCCGGCAGCCCATCGGTCAGTCCATGAGCTCCAAGACGAGCCAGGCAGATGCAGCCCGCTCTCAAAACCACACTCCCACTGCCATTACTATCAATATCTTCTGCGTTATTCTTGCAACCCAGAACAGACCGTTATTGCACTTCTTTGCATTACACAGTAACGTTCAAGCCTTTTCACCCTGTCGGTCAATCTGAGGCCTTATACTTAGTCCCACTGCAGTCCCCATGCCACTGTGTTAGTTGTCTTTTTCTCCCTGATCAGAGAGTGGGAGGGAACTTCAAAACAGCAAGAAAGCAGGAAAACACGGCAGCAGTCTGCTTGCCAGGGAGACTAGCCTGCAAGGCCTATCTCAGCAGGGAATTTTGCTCAGAACTTGAAAGCGTTCCTCTTTCTGCAGGCAGACGGCAGCATTTACCACCCCAAATCCCCATGTCATCATGCCCAGCCAGAAGATAACGTTCCCAAAGGGCTTCTCAAAAGCCCATCGCCCATCAGTGGCTCCAGGCACCCCACAGGCAGCAGGACGCAGCCCCCACGAGCCTCCACTGCTGCAGCACTGCGAGCAGGGGAGGGCTGGCTGCCACCGATCTTAGAGGCTGTTGGTAGCTACAGAAGGCCCTGGTGAATTAAGGCAAGCGGCTGCTCCCCAGAGGAGAGGGCACGTGGGCATATGCCAGCTTTTCCTCCCACAGCTCCAAATCAACCAGGCAGATCCGGGACGTGGCCCATGCTGGGTGCCTGGCGGCTCTAGGTGCCCATGCCTCCAGCAACTTCTTCATAGTTTCCATTGGGCGACAGGCTGGTCAGAGCCACTTCTTCCTCAAGGTCCTGCACGTCATCTGCAAAGAGCAGAGAGAGGTCAAGGGAGAGCTGAACTGTGGATCCATTCTTCCCATGCAAATTGCAATTTAAAGCAACAGAAATGAGCATGCGGTCAAAGCAATTGGTACAGACCCACAATCTTAAGAGTGGATGATTTTTCCATAATTGATTCTCAATTGATTTTACAAACTCAAGTGTTGCTCCAGCAAACAGGAGCGATCTGTGAGCAAAGGAGCACTAGGTCCCAGCCCTGCAGACAGCTCCGTGGGCTGCTGCAGCCTCAGCCTTTTGAAAGCATGCTGTATGGACATGAGACTTCACCTGCCTGGCATTGACTGCAAGATCAGGCACTCAAATTTTTTGACCCACTGTCTTCCTCTAGAGGAAGTGTCTCAAAGCTGCACAAATTGGGCATTTCGGTCTCTTTCTCAGACCCTTGTGTTTATTAGAGTGGGAGAACCTCTCCTCTCGCATGCTCCATAGGGCAATTTGCACCTCCTCTCCTGCTCGCATTTTATAGCCTCCTGGGACAGGCTCTCTGCAAAAAAAAAAAAAAAGGAAATCGTTGCTGGGAAAGGTGAGCAGAAGTGCCAACGGTACAGCAAATGCGGAGCGCGTGGCTCTCAAAACACGAGGCTGCTCGATCCCTGAACAATTTCTTTTCCAGTCAGGGAACCCAAGGCTGGCTACCCTCCTGTTCCTCCCACTGGCCTCACAGCACGTGTTTTGAGAACGCTTCTTCCAGCTGCATTTGCAGAAAACATCACTAAGATGGGGATGATGCCTCCAATTCATTGTTTAGAAGAAGAGAAATTCTGCCACCAGGAACTCCTGCAAAACGCAGCAGAGTTCAGCAGCGCTTCCCAGGGCATAATTACCCACTGGACTCAGCATGTTTTGACTCCAAGTGAAAGATCTGAAGGATGTTGACAAACGTTTGACCAAGAGAGTCCTACACCACTGCACACTCCTCAAGAGGGGAAGTGTCACTCTCTGCAGCTGAAAAATGCATCTGGAAACAGAGAGGCAAGAGAGGAAGAAACAAAAACCCACATCACCGGAGGCAGCATGAGCCCAGAGGGCTGCAGAGCGATGCCTGCTCCCTCCAGGGCACCCGGCTGGCTGGGTTAAGCCCTGAGCACAGAGCTCTTTGAAGGCATTTGTTTTGCACCCGGGCCAAGTGCTGGCACTATCAGAGAGGGTGTAAATAGCAAGCAGCGGTTCGGGTGTGCTCCAGCTAATCCACAGCATCGCATCGCCGGTGCTGAGCACTGCTGTAGGTGCTTAGAGAGATTAGGAGCAAGTCAGAAAGCAGGGAGATGGCACCACAGCAGCTAGGCATGCACTGGTCGTCTCCAGGCTCTGGCCAAAGCAGCTGTAGAGCTGGAAATAGCTTAAGGAGGCCACCAACAAGGGATTTAGGCATCGAGACCAGCAGGGAGACAGGGAGGAACCTCCGACACAGTCACGTTGGGAGGACAAGGCCCTCGAGGGAGCTGGGCGTACCTTCGTGAACGTTTGCAGCTTCTGTTACGCGGCCTTTTCTCTGGCTGCTGCGGCCACGATAAATGCACTGCAGGAAGGAAGGCAGTCTCCAGCTCTCGCTCTTTTTCCCCTCTTTGGGATAAAGCAGAGAAGAGGAGTTCAGATGGCATCGGGTCAGCACTGCTGCTCCCCCACCTCCCTGCTGTTGATTTGCAACTCGCTCCCTCCACGCTCCCGACTCTTTGCAGCGAAACCTGCAAAGCCACAGAACCTTCTCCCTCAAAGCACAGAGCAGCTCCTGGAAACGCTTATTTCAGGCTGAAAACGCTCTCCTACTCTGGAAACTTGCCCTTAGTGTCAGTCTCCATCTTCTTGGCGCATTGCTGCCAAAACTGTCCTGAATGCTCTTCCCACAAAACAGCCAGGGTTCGAGCAGAAGCTGCTTTGAAAGTGACGGCCACTGGCAGCCCAGACAGAGCAAGAGACCTGGCAGTTTACCCAGTGCACGTGGCAGTACAGAGGACTGACACGTTCAGGACATTCCTGCAGAAGGAAGTTTTTCTATTGCATTATCGCATGGCTTCTCCACATCAACCTATTTACTGCTCCTCTTCCTTAACAAACAATTCCCCCTCTCAGGGGTACCTGCTGGAAACACTGAGACTTGTAGCACGTTAAAAATTAAAGCTATAACTGCTTGCAAAATGCAGAGAGCATGCCACTTCCATCAATGTATAGTAGTTATTCCGGAGGACAACAAAGGTCACAGCAAGTTACTACAAGCTTTCAAGCCGTTGTAGTAAATACTACAGCAGCTTATTTTCTGCAGTCTCAAACGGCAGCAGCTCAGCATCCTCATTGAAATATTGCACGGCCTTTCACCTCCTAATCAGGTCTTATCTCCCGGTAGCAAATGATAAACCACTTCAGCGTCCTTCATCTTATCAAACCATTGCAACACTGACTGGCTCACAGTAGCAAAAAAAGGTGAATTACAGCAACTACCAGTCAACAGACCAGCCCTCCAGCCGAAAGCACATCCCCTCCTCTCAGTCCCCGGAGGGACTCTGGACAAACCACCGGCATGATGGGATACCCCACAGCCCCCTTCGACCAGAGAGGCACATAAACCTCATTGCGATTCCTGTCCCAGCTCCACCACACAAATAACAGTGCCTGGGACCTTCCCAGCGAGGGGGCTGCAGCTCCAGTGACTGGCACTGGCAGAGCTGAGCAGTGGGGTGTGTGGAGGAGGAAGGGGCTTTAGGGATGGTCTGAAACAAAAGGGGCACAAGCGTACATACACAGCACCTTACAGTTATACCAGTGTAAACCAATACAGATATTCTGTATACCTCCCAGCATCCTTATCCAGATACAAGCACATCTTTTTTTCCAGCTTAGCACTGCAAAGTCAAGAAGGGGAAAAAGAGGAGCTCAGCCCTGACTGATGACAAGTTTACGGCGGCATCACTAGAAGAGCTGCAGCTTGCTAAGCAGCGTGCTCTGCATCCCCAAGCTGCTCTGGCCCCTCTCTCACACATTTCTTCCACACACTATCTTAAATTCCCCTCACGCTTCACTTGCGGGGAAAGCCACAGGGCAAAGGAGAGCAGGCTGCAGCTTGCAAGGCAACCATGCAAGGCAAGCACGTGGGGTTGTGCTGGGACTGCGGGGCCGGGCAGCCCACCCCAGCTCTCCCCTGCGACGAACCTGGGATCGGTCTTCTCCCACGTGCCATCACCTCCGGCTCCCTAGCTCTTCAAAGGCACAGCTATGCCCGGGCCCTTTTGGCTACGTGGACGTTATGGTATGTAGGGGGCTCGCAGGGGCATGAAAGTAGCCACCCTTGCCGAAGGTCTAACCCCGCAGCTGACCGGTGTCCTCATTACACATACGGGTCACAGGACACTTACATGACTAAGAGCAACAGGCAGAGCATCAGAGGTGAATTAAAGCAACACACTGAGTCCTCCTCCCCACAACGCTTCTAAAGTACACACAAACAGGCTGGCTGCAACACGTGCTCAAGCTCTGTGTGGTCATCTTTCTCCACGTCTAGCTGACACGCTATTTCCACGTCTGCACGCAAGACAAATTCACAGCTAGTCAGAAAAATACATGTACTGAGGTGCCAGCACAGTGCAGAGGCAGAAAAAGGCCATGTGTGCAGGGACACTTTTCTGCCTCTGCAGCTGCTATGTTGACTGGCACCCGGGACTGCAACAGAAGAAATTCAGCAATGTGAGAAAGGCAAAAGCAAAGGGAAAGGAGAGAAGCCGGCAAGGGGAACATGCATGCCTCAGTACCAAGGGTTGTAGCTGCCCCAGCCCAAGCGATGGCAGAAGGTAGCACCACTCCTTCGCAGAGGGACAGCGTGGGTCCTGGCAGTCTCAAAGCTCCTCAAAGTTCAGATCCAGGACTGAGGATTCTGGACTGAGCTAATTTCAATAGCGCAGCTGAGCTCCCACCCACCAGGAGTGGAAGGCCAACCATCCCCATGTCCCTGGGATCCTGGAGAACCCTGTCAGTGCAGAGCTGAGGACAGCTGCCAGGACCCCTCAGCAGCACGGCAGAAAGCAGGAAGAACTCCTGAGCCCTTGGAGATGAAGTTGATCAAGGGAAAAGGGAAAAATGAAAGAAAGGATGAAGAAAGGGAAACATCCCAACACAAGCAGTGCCGAAGACCCACGTGAGCGCAGGTTGCTCTCTGTAGCTGCTGCGGGGGCAGAGTTTGACCAGTTGTCCAGCCACCCCACGTTTGCACACAAATATGACTCACCTTTCATCCCGGAGCAAGTGCTGCTCTTCAAGGCCTGTTTTACACCCAGCTTTCAACCGAGCATAACCACCAGGCTTAGGCTGGCCACTAACAGACGCGTGGTTTTAAACCCGAGTGCCTACTTTCTATTGTTCTTACTTATTATGTTAAGCCAGCACCTGGGACCTGCCCGCACCCTATGGCAGGTGCTGCACCCCAACACCCTGTCCCAAGAACACGTGTCCACAAGCATAAAAGGCCACCACATCACAAGCGGTCACCTGCCACATCCCTGCTTCCAAGAGCTGCTCTAGTGCTTTTCAACCTGCTGCCCATCCTCCCCAGATGCTAGGGCTGGGAATCCCACCAGGAAGGGACAGGTCCTGTTGGGAAAGACCAGATCCCACCAGGATGGGGTAGATCCCACTGGAATGGGGAAGCAGATCCTACCAGAATGGGGAAAAGCCCATTGGGAAAGGCCAGATCGCACCAGGATGGGGCAGATCCCACTGGAATGGGGAAAATCTATCGGGAAAGGCCAGATCCCACCAGCATGGGCAGGTCCTGCTGGGGAGGGGTAGATCTCACCAGAATGGGGCAGACTCCAGTGGGAAAGGTCAGATCCCACCAGGATGGGGCAAATCACACCGGGGAAGGCTGGATGCCATCAGCATGGGGCAGCTCCTACGAACAAGGGCCCCCTGCCCACAACCCCAGGGAGCACCTGCGGCACAGAGGCGCAGGGAGGGCTGCC